CACGCAAAGGTTTCCCTTCAAAGTGACTAGTCTGTTCCACTTCTAACAGAGACCGGTTAACGTTCTCCCTGAGTGCGTACAGGCAGTAGAGCTTTTGTTTGAACTTCGGTCAGCCATATATTCGTATTACCGTAGTCGTCACCGCCACCACTATCACCTGGGTAGTAAGACCGTGGCAGACCCCGACATTTCACTGCGACAGAATCCAGTTTTATCGGAGAAGGTCAAACTGTGCATATCATCAGGCTACCTAAAAATACCCGTAGACTTTGGGAAGCGGGGAATAAGCTTGGAAGGGAATTGTTTCCTCAGGAATAATGCAATTTAATCACGGAAAGCTCAGCCACAAAGAACCGTCCACCCTCATCGGAGGTTAAGTGATCGTGTGACCCTTCAGATAATAGGTAAAAGTTGCCTAAAAACACCATAAATGAGAAATGCAGCTGGGTTCCCGGTGATAGAACATAAGGTAGAACATAAGGTTGACGGATGCTCTGGGACCGTGCCTACCTGAAGAGCTACAAGAAGGGCGAAATCGACCGTGGGCTGTCGAACAGTTTTCAGCAACCTCATAAGTAGTGTGTTACGTCTATAAAAGTTGCTTACTTTAAAACCATGCATCCGCCGACCGGACGTATGCAGTTTGTGGATTCCATTCTGAACTGTATACGCTGCTGCAACGAGTGAACAAGCCAAATATCACGAATGAAGCTATCCAAGGTCTGGAATGTATTGCGAGTTACTAAAGAAGACAAAGTTAGTCGTTTCAGTTGGATCGACATGCTCATGAGATTGGGGGTCTGTTCACAACAATGAAAAACTGGCAAGGGTTGCTAAAGTTAGATTTCATTAGTTGCGTAAGTGGGGCCTCTTCGAAAGTGTGGTCAAACGGTGCAAGTCTGATGAATATTTATCTGGTAATCACCGTTTTTTGACACTATCGTGAGAAGTTGTGCTATGTCGTAGTGTCCTACCGATTCTGATAGATCAATCGGCTAAAGGATAGCCTCGAAAGTGCATAACCCCACCGGATTGACTATTTCTCTCCGGCTCTATTAAGCAGTTTTTTGAGCAGAAATGTGTCGGATGCCATTAGAAAATGAACAATGGATTGCAGACGCTACGAATTTGTAAAAAAAAATGTGTAGGGTAACGAAAGTTGATATCAAAAAAGGCTTGTAGAAATGGTAATACGGGATCAATAGCAAGAAGATAATGTGGGACGTGATTAGCTGTTATAATGTTAAAATACTGCCTTCTTAGTTTTGACAGCTGCTTCAAACTACTTCCAAGATTCTGTGTTAATTTTCTTAATTCTCTTGTCGATTCGATGGCCGTTAATTAAGGCATGCCACCTAGAGAGCAAACATTTGACCATCTGGTATAGAGATTTCCAGAAAAAATCATCCTCCGAGTTCATTTCATTGTTTCATTTTTTGTTTCTGCTTTTTTGTGGAATACCATTATGATTGGATCCTAGAACTGCAAAGCATCAACAGGTACATATTACCTAATTACTGGGGTACACAAAGTGATGTGCAGGACTGGTTCACTCCTAATAGTCTATTGTACTTCCCGAGATCATACTGGATAGGGGTGCTTTGTTTGACATCCCACTCGCTAGCAAACTAAAAGACGCAGTTGCCCTTGAACGACCAGAATGAACTATAGTTCACTTCGTACCAGTTCAGCATTCGCCTCACAGAAAGCGCTCTTACCTTATGGTACCTCGCTGGCTGTCCAAATTAGGACAACAGGATACGGGAGATCAATGGGCACAAAATGCTAACTAGTGCACATCGAATCTAACAAAATGTCTGGTAATTTGAACTTTCCCAGTCAGGCACATTCGTGGTACGTGCATTTCTTTCATACATGATGGGTAACAGGCAAACGCTGGGACGACGATGACAGAGTGCTCGGCATCTTGTCAAACTGCAGTTGACATTATTTCATTGGTGGCGATCGCGATCTACTTGCGACTCAAAACAGTAGATTTAGTCACATAGCCTTGACGGCATCGACCTTAGTCCGAATCCCAAATCTACAGCAAGCCCTGAAACCAAAAAAACCTAATAGATTGCCATTTGCCCATACTCAACCAACAGTAAAATGGTTTAGATTTTGCACCATGAGTTTTGTAGAATTCAATACTGTTGTTAGTCTGTCTGCCCGCACAGATAACTGAGGGGTTTTTTACCTTAACCTACTTCCAGGTTTCCAGACAATGGCTTGATCTCTTAACCCATATTAGTGACCCAGTTTAACCCACTAGTAACCAAGCTCGGGTAGAAAAGTTAAACTTCAGTCCCGCCTCTACTGTTCATTAGATGAGTTTACCACTGATTCAACATAGCTGTCCATTTCATAGACGTAACTGTGGAACTACTTCATTTTTTCTCTGCCCTTCCTCTTAGACTTTCACGCACAGACTAAAGCTCTCGGACGAGCAACAACCATCGTATGAAGCTAGCTGCTTGCAGATTAATCAGTCACTATATGCGTCTCATCCGAATACTTCCCTTCCAGAGAAAACTTTTCCGTAGATGAAGAGAGAGCCCAGTCCTCATATTTGTACAATATTTCCGGCCTTTTTAGTGACATCCCCATTTTAGCACCACCGAGTGTTCGCGATTCTGCCTGATTGTTTTAAGTACCATGCCATGTTTACCTCCCGTAAATAACCCCGCAATATGTTTAAAAGACCTAGTTTATCAGTTCTGGTAGCTTACACCTTCCCACTCATTTACTGTCACCTGCTCGCAAAAATCAGCCACGAGGGGACTGTACTTTAACATGCTGAGACGGCTTGCGTTCCCTGGTATCCCACTGAGTTGTACTGGAGGATGCTCATCCATGTGCAACACCCGTAGCGTCTCTTCCGCCAAGCTGATCAGTGGATACATGCCCGACAGATTGGCGGTCAGAACAAGTTTGTCAAATCACTATTTAGAATTCATACTACTCCAATAGCCTAACGTCAGCTAACCCTACCGTGCGGTTAAGTTTTTGAGTCAAAGACCTTTATCTGGGCTCGGATGCCGTGACAGTAGCTCAGATCACAAAACCATAAACTTCACGAACAAAATTGTCTCCTGCCCCATCAACCATCGCGTGATGACGTCAGCCGGACCATCTTACTTGCTGCAACACAAAGCACGACAGATGGGTGAGAACATGCAATTTCTGATGCTTCCCATCTCTCTTTGCTGTAATCTCTCAAATTCATTATGTCCCGATTGATATCGTACTTCTATAGATCTCAACTCTATGCACTCAGTCAGGCAACTGGGAAACATATAGCCGGTCATCGCTAATATCTGCATCTCCCTAACCTCCTTTTAGACATCCTTCTGTTTTTATTGCAATCGAGTAGAATTCGAATGGTATTCGGGAGAAATAACTCACCCTCGACAGATGAACTGATCCCACTGCCGGGTTGGCCACGTGCCTCGTATGCCAGTCGACCGACTTCCTCGAAGGGCTCTTTTAGCACAACCAATTGAAGGATGGAAACGAGTCAGAGGCGGTCAAACAATGACTTGGCAGCGAAGTGTAAAAGCCAGTACCAACAAACTCAGCTGCGCTGGTCATTGCCGTCTTCCAGGATGGAGACCCCGAGACGGGCCATATCAATGGTTCAGAGAAATGGTCAGACTTGGCCCAGTCATACCCTCAATGACCCTCGTGCATCCAAGCTATTACCTTCAATGCATAGTTCCTTTCTCAATCTCCCAGAATGAAATTCCACTGACAGTACTTTATTTATCAGTTCCCGCCTCCAACGCGCAGCTACCTACCCCCCACCCACCCAAATCATCGGTGAACGAAACTGCGGCCGCTACAACCACTGTACGACAAGTACGTGGTTCTTACAGCTGACAATGATGGCGAAGATGACATTTGGCCCCTCCGATCCAAGTACATTAGATATCTTCAAACCGGCGTCTCCTTAGAGTAGTGGAATTTTTCAGCCGTTATTAAACACACAAATTAGCAGTGATTAAGCTGGCATGTGGTGCTGAATCCAAACAGTTAGAGCAGTAGATTAGAATTACCAGGTTAATATAGTTGGGATATCTATTACGTATGCCCGACCACCGTTCTTCTGAAGACAGCGTTACTTCCCGTCCCAGGCAATTGTTGGCGAAATTTTCGCGGGAACGGGCTGTGGCAAGACGACGTGTAATTAAAGCGAATACAGTTAAACTGAGCACCGTAAGATCTTCGTGTATTCTTGGATTAGGTCCAAGTCTCGCATGCACGTGACTGGAAACTTTGCGGTAAATGGTTTGAAACCGATTCCATTGGGACACATCCTGTCATTTCATGGCTTTACTGTCTAGGTAAAATTCGCCTGTTGTTGTGTGCTTGTCGCTGATCGCTTGAGGTTCACGAAGGCAGCTAGGTCAGCCGCACTGATGGCACCTTAATTCAACATAATGTCCAGATGTATTTATTTCAACGCTTTCTAAAGATGCGAGCACTCTGTACTTCATCGGTTTCCTTAAGGACATGGACGTTTCCGCAACAGCCTCCCCATTTCTTTCCACGCCTTACTAAGGTTTTTATCCCTCACGGTTGCGTGGTGATTAAGTACCAGCATACACCACCGGTGTGTAGTTGTCACTGATAACAAAATAAAAACGTGATTCTGATCGCATATCACTCTATGCGGTTCAAATAAACGGATCTACCTCCAGGACCCATAGCCTGTCCGGTAAGGACTAATTATCACCCAACTTCTGTCCAGCGAATAGCTCAGGCCTCATAGACCATAATTACGCAGTATGTCCTAAAGGAGGTTAAAATTGATTACTTCTTTATATCGTTCGTAAACTGGACGCTGAGAAGCGAAAATGCTTCGCTAGAAATGCAGCTCACTGTGGTACCGTTCGTTTAGCCCTCAGTAAGTCCGCAATATTCCCGTTAATCAGTTTCCCACAATGAGGTTCGTTCACACTCCAAAATTCAGAGAAAAGTCAATAATTTGAGATATTCCTCGTGTTACCTTTTGCTGACTTCTGATATTGAAGTCTTTAAATATCAGGAGGAGCGTAGTGCGGTGTAACGGTGAAAAGTACACGCACCGTGCATGCATATTGTTCTCCGTTGAGTAGGTCTTCCACTGAAAGAAGAAACGGAATTTTAAGCGGAAATTGCGTTGATTCGTCAAAATTTCATCAGTGTTTCTGTCAATTGCCACGAAAGTAGTGAACTTACATAGGAACCACTTCCTGTCATGGGATTAACAGTGGTGCTGAAGGGCCTCGCCACATGGTTTTGATGTCTCATTTGACGGAAATAAACTATGTGATCGATAATCGCAATACAACGGAGAGCTACCGAGTATCACCTATCCATCACAGTCGAAAGTGTAGCCATAAAGCGCTGCAAACCAGATTTACGCAATCACAAATCCTAACCGGCTTGTCTAGCCATCATAACTAAAACAGTGACCTATTTGCCGTTCGTTATGGGGGATCATTCTAATTTGGAATGTTCATGTCCTGCTGATGTACAACTTTAGAAGTGCATCACAATAGGGCATGGATCTGGGCAGAATATGTGGAAAGGAAAAGAGCGTAATGCTGGCATTCGTTTCTACTGAACATCACGCTTCATCGCCGTGCATCTCTCCAAATTTGGTTGATGAAATCTCTCCAGTGAGGAGTAACATAGTAGTGTGAAGGGGAACTGCATAAGCACTGAGACCCACGGCCAAATGCTGTGACTGATAAAGTTGTTAACTCAGTTTAAGCATGTCACACCACAAGCTACATAGAGGACAGCAGTTTACGCCGACAACAACCGTACAAGCTGAACAACATAAATCTGTAGCGATAAAGCATCAAACGGGTCTACTTTAACGACGAACGACAGGAACCGCTCCTAGTACGCTCAGTGTCAGTAAAGTTCGCCTCTCGACCAACAGCTCGTAAGGCTCAAAGACACCACAGCATTCACCAGAGGATAATGCAGTGTTCGCTTTTCACTTGCATATGAATGTTCGTATAGGGTTTAAACACAGCTGTGATCGATCACCTCAACTTCTTACTTCAACGAAGGCCTTTTGCAACATTTTGCACCTGACAGACAAGGACCCTAAAATGTGTTGATTATATTCCTCAGTTATTGGGTTCTATATCACATGCCGCCGGTGCAAGAACCTCAAAAGGCTGTGTTGTAGTATGAGTGCGAGACATGGCTTCTGCGGACAGATGATGTGAGGCGTCTCAAGTTCTTGAACCACCGATGCCTCAGAAGCGTGGCTGGTTTTAGATGGCATCAGCGTGTTAGTAACGAAGTGATTAGAAACAGGCATTTTGGTTGTGCTACAGGCACCTAAATCCGGGAAAACGTCCAGCACAATCGATTACGACGGCTCGGTCATGTGCTATGCCTGCCGAAACACCATATACCGAGACTATTGTTGTTACCCGTGCCTCCCTCAGAATGGCGCAAACTGCGAGGTGGAAAATGTGTGACTTGGCAGAAGGGCGTGAAAGATATCACGAAGAGTTTGGATGTTGTTGGTGTTGTACACCTTCCGCCCGTGCTTGACTGGAGTCGTTGCAAGAAATGGCGCCTAATCGATGGCAATGGTGTTGGTGTTGTCAGTTTCTTTCCAAATTATCTGGTTGAACGCTTGGAGGTGTAGGTACCTCAGAATGTTTGACATAGGCCAGCACCAGGTCCCCTCCCTCACCCACTCTTTTTTCTCCAGTCTGGGGCTTTAAATATAATTAGACGAACCTTATGACTGTAGGGCAGTAAAGCGTCAGTGTTAACAATGGTGTTTTTGTCATTGATGATCAATGAACAATAGTTTAGCTTCACAGTGAGTCAGTTTTAAGCCCAAATATTCCTGTCGAGTTGACCTGAAAACGTTGCCGATACGTTTTGCAGAAAACATCCAGACGTCCCCCGTGCAACGAGAGAGACAAACATTCCATCAGTGGTTAGTTTCATCAATCAATGTCTCAGGGTGAATACATGACAAGACTGCAGTCGACTTATTTGTGATTTTGTCACTGTGAAGGAAAAATCAAACAAAATACCCTTTTGGTACTTGTCTTCCCCAAGTGTAGCTCTCATCCACAATGAGTAATCCGTGGGAAGGTAGCCGTCTAGGAGAGAGGTGAACAAAACACTCACGGGCGCACATTTTGTCGTTCTGAATATAAATCAGGTTGCATATGAATGAGCTATCTTGGGCGACAGTCCATTCCTTAAGACAAACAGATGTAGGCCCCCTTGGTGTCGTGAATTAAAGGTGCACACTTCGCCCATGTGCGGAGCTTAAGTTCGGACTTTCGAAACGTACGTGGTTAAACAACTAGTGGTCCGACCATTCAATTGTTTTTATTACTTATTTGGGTATACAAACAACGCGCCAAACAAAACTGCACTGACTCACCATCCTGAAGGTACTGTGCGAAGTACTCTTTATGGGTCCACTGCGTGGCAACTATGTAATTCGGCAATCTCTCACCCGAATAGATCCTCAGGCTTTTTGTTCCAGCAACAAGCGTCCCCTTATTTTTGGTCGCAAGGTCGGGCAACTGGAACACATAGTCCCGGAATTTGTGAACGTATTTGACGTCGTGAAACGTGAGCTCCATAAACGGATAGGCTACAATGAGTGCGAGGAAAAACGCTGCAGACTTCTGCATGAACACATTGTGTTCCAAGCTTTGATGCGCAAAATAAATAAGTAATACGAAAATATTCTGTCACTGTTTTGGGTCTGTATGACGAGACAGGTTCTGGAGACCGTATGAGTGCCTCATTAGATGCGAGCTTTTCTCCTCACAGTGTATCATTCCAATGCTCAACAATGCTTATCACATTTTATCAGTTTTTGCTGTTTCACACCAATCGATAATGCTTGTGGAGCTAAAAAAAATGCACGAGCTCGTCTTGTTGCCTAAGGTATGTCTGTTCAAGCTCCAGATGACTCGGTGGTTGAGGCGCGAACTTACTGATTAGAAGGTCTGTGGTTCGAACCCGACCTCTGCATCTCGGCTGCACCGGTCTAGGCTTGAGCGACCTCGCGGCCCTCGTGCTTGATTCGTGTTGCATGGCAGCTAGGCACCGAAAGGGTGCTACAACTGGACCAATTTTTACAGCTGTTTGGCGACAGGTGGTGAAGCCCACCCAAGCAAACGAAATCCTCCGTTTAGCGAACCTTGTACAACTGTTCCCATCCGGCGAGACCAATCGAAACTAGTGCCTCATGTGAGTCAGTCTCTTTTAGGGGAGAGTTAACCAATGAAGTACGCATTGAAAAACGAACAAAAATTAGTCTGCTCTTAAAAGTCGCCTCTTCTAAGGGCAATTCTTCCAGTAGAGGAATATTCCTCCATTAATCCATCTTATCTAATGAGCTAACCCTGTCCAAAGAAATTTATCGTAATGGACTGTCCATGGAATTATCCGTTTTGATTTACTGCGGATCGATAACCTCGCCTGAAGCCACTGTGAATGGCTCGATTTACAGTTGTTTTCCCCAGGAGAAACAAATTTCGTTTGGTTCCTCAAAGCTTTTATTTAATTCAAGTTTCGTAGAGAGATCCTTCTCGGTCGAAACGTTTAAAGAGTCCAAAACACGCCAGAACAGCCTATCCGATGTGCAAACAGACTTTTGACAGTTGCTCATGGCAAGTCTTATTCTAGGAAATCAAACTCCGAACTAGTGGTTCATGTGTAAGTGTGAATTAATTGGTTCGACGTGGTATGGGATTGATACGCTATCCTGTATCCTCTTCTACAGTTTCACACACACCTCGATAGGTTTTTTCTCAGATCAGCTCAAATCGATGCCTTAAACAGTTGATCAGGAACAAGGGATTTGATCATGTGATATCATCTGGGCTCAGTTTGTTATGATCGACCGGATTGTGCCGTGAACCACTACCATGAAGTCAAGGGAGTTTCAGTGCACGAACGTATTGTTTCCAAGTTCGCAGAGCCGGGCTGCTCCAGTGACGTTTCACGAACGATTAAGTAAATAATATGCTACCTTGTAACCAATACTTTTCTATTAAATTCCATCGATCGGGTTGCTAAGCGATTGCAATTTCCTACATGTATGACAGTTCAGAAGTCCGACTGGTACTCAACAGACCTGAATTGAATGAGAAACCACCATAAGAAACTGAAAACGAATAAGACCAGACAGCCAAAGTTGACAGTACCGCTACGTACTATTTCACATAAACCTAAAGAAGAAAAGTTTTGGCCCCTTTTCTAACAGAATCGCAACGAGGATTTTGCCTTAAGCTCTTCAGAAGAATATCCCCTACTTAATGAGGGCCCCTATTCAGAGATCTTCGACTCCATAACGTTTTAATGTAAGAACATCCTCACATGTTCCGCAAACTGTCTTGACAGAAACCTTGAGATAGACCTAAAGAAATTCTGGTGTTGGAACACTTAACGTGACACAATCAATCAATCGATTTATGAGCTATGAACCGTGTACCATAGGATCATTTGTTCCAGCTGCTACTGTTTCGATCACTGAAAAACGGGAAAGTGGAACATATAACTAAGCCTTGGAGATGAAGGCATGTTCAGTTTGTTCGGAAATTGGATAGCTACGCATTGAAGGCGACAGCTTTGATGCACAAGCGTCACTTACTGCGCGACTGGGCCATTTCCGCCAGTGTCATTAGCCACTGGTGATTTGAGTTCCGAGGTCCCCATTTAGGGAGATGGCAGTTGCCCACCCGACGGACGACTTTTACTGGTTAGTGTTTTCGTACTTGCCAGTACCACTAGGGACAGGGCTGAGAGAAAAGAGCTCTGTGAGGTAGACGGTCTTCTGACATGCGGAGTACATGTCCCAAACAGCGCAACTATGAATAGTTCATCTAATTCATCTATCACGGGAGATTTTCCTCTTCCTAACACCATCTGGCGTACCCCAGCATTAGTAAATCCGATGTTCCCACCAGACCTGACCAATGCTGTGGGGGCACCGATTATCAAACACTGACATCTTCCGAATGTCCTCTGCGCGTAGGGCCCATGTCTCTGGTTCATGAAGCAGTATGGTTCGCACCACCGCGGTCTAAACTCTTCTCTTGACAAACAAACTCACGTCACGTCGGTGCCATAGGTGTCGGAGGTTGGAAAAGCTAAGATGACCTACGTGGTGAATGATGCTTCGAGTTCCAAGTCAAGATTTAGGCACCCTCTTAGATGCCTTAATTCTACAGGAGTCACCGCTTGAGAACTTTACAGAGATCTCATTATATATGTCTTAACGCGAAAACCGCGCATATATTATAGGATTTACCACCTCCCATCGAGAAGAGAGTTTTGGAGGAAAGTGTTAAGCATCCACACTCGAAACAGCGGCCTCCTGAATCGAAGAGGATACACTTGATTGCCCCTGAATAAGTGAACCACTGTCTAAGGGAAAACACCACATCTGGAATGCCACTAAAATATTTTCTCATCCGTAACACTCTTTCATGCACTCCGAAGAAAGTAGCAAGGCTGAGATACTACCAGGTTGTTTGAGCCTATAGAGCAGCAACTGAGATGTCACTAAATAAAAAAGTCGTTCAGTTGTAATACCCTTTCGGTGACTAACTGCTATGCTACCCGAAGGAAGCAAGAGGGCTTGGATACTACCAGGTTGCCTAAGCCTAGACAGTGGAAGTCGAGAGGCGGAAGCCGGGTTCGAACCACGGACCTGCCAGTCAGTAAATTCGCGCTCTAACCACTTGGGCCATCTCGCATGTCACTGACCTAGATTATTTGCCGCATTATCAGTTGAAACCGTTTTTTCTCGAAGTATAGTTAGTAAACTAACCCTCCATACCAGAGAACTCCTGCTGATTGGATCTGACTTGACTTAGCCCGTGGATACATGTATTGTACTACTCCTACGAAGGTTTTGCAACTGGAAAACCTACTGAAGGTTGAAAGGTAGGATTAAGTGACGCGCGAAAGCTCAATGATTAGCGATTTTCAATTAATGGCATACTTTTATTTGCTTTGTAAGTATACACCCTCGTGACAAATGGTCTGAATTGCTTTATGTTATCCGGGTGTGGTCAGATAACCAAGATGAGGAAGGTTCGTGAGCACTAACACGTACCAACACGAATGTTCAAGGTTATGTAGCTTTGAACAAAATGGAAAAATCTAACCAAGCCCCCAGAAAGCATCGAAAACAGCTAAGCAAAAGTAGAACTGCATCCTACAAGTGCGTTAGTTTTTTATTGGCCACCTTCCCATAAGGAAACACCTGTCCCAGCGAGACGTTTCGAAATCTTCCGAAAGCGGTTCCTCAATGGACAGGGCACTACATCTAATGAAAAAGTATGAATACCCTTTGAATATCCAGTCTTAAGTTGAATGCGCATGTCAATAGGCATCCTCGTGCGATTCGTAAATATTACGTTACAAACGCATTAAACAAGCTACGCACGCTATGTTTCAAGTGTGGATCCCGCTATAAGAAAGGGAACTGATAGTTTGACTCACTTTCAGGTGACCTTAAAACGTTGGTCAGTGGTATCGCAATGGCATCAAGCACAATACGAAAAACGTCTTTGATACGGAGATCCTTTATGAATCTGGTAATTTGATGTGGATCATCAAAAACAAACAGAAATGGCACTTCCTCTGCGCTCCATTTGTATCGAATGTCGGTTGCTTCAAAGTCCTATATTCAAAAGAAAGATTACATTGTGTGGGATACTGTCAAGCCCCTCTTGAGATACTTCTTCATGACAGTTTTTCTACAAATAAGCCACCCCACTTTATATTTTTTGCACTTGTCCTAAAAAACTCCCTGGTTTATTTTGACAGCAAAATAACTGGAGAACTATTGGGGTGGAAATTTATAACTTCCGTCCTGCTGTATTATTTTCCAGTGAATGGTAGGTTAAACAGCGTCACATGGCCTCTATTCAGCACATCTCTGGGGAAAAACAGCACAAAGGGTCACATTTTCTGTCCCTGTTTATCCCAATTCTCGAACGGCGACCACGGTTTGTCGCCAGCGCTCGACCGAAATCAAAAAAGAAACTTTTTTAAATCTAATTGTAAGCTGAACAAACGTTGGAAGGTAGCTGTGATCCAAAGCAGTTAGTCTCAACACCGTTTGGAAACAGTATATCCTAAACTGACGGTAGTAGTGGTCTAAAAGGATGGGTATTCTCCAAGCCCAATGGTAAAGTCTCATAGGTTTTGCATTATGCCTTTTTTCTTAGAGTTTATTCTAAACCATAATCACCTGGCTTTTTACAGAGACTGGGCAGTCCAATGCCCCTTAGTTCAATAGACATCGTCGCTTGCATTCGAAAGTGCACCAACTCTCGAATAATCTTCTCACCTGATCTCCACTTGTAAAAAAGACTTATTTTTGAAGACTTATTTCTGATTGTACATGACTACCGTGATCAAATTTATAGTATATTACATTACGGAGAATAGTCCAGGAGCATAGAAACTCGGGAAAGTATTGGGAGCGCTTACAGCTACGTCACAATTCGTTGTTCTCGCCTATAATTAAAACCGTTTGCTTTTGGAATATCTTTTAGCAGTGAATAAAGCGGTCCCGATAATGTTGAGGGTTACTGTCACTCACAACTGTCAACTAGCGGCAAGCTTCAACCGTCGTTTTGTTTACATTCTGTTATTGTGTGTGATACCACACAGCCCTAACCGTCTACACTTTCTTCTGGTGCAGAGTTGGGAATTTGATTTGCTACCGGAACTATTGGCCCCAGATGGATGTGAAATGTAGTGCAGAAGCCATCCATCCTTTTCGTACTTCCTACCATTGTCATTAGCCCTTTCTGCTTGTTAATGTTCCCTTATTCTGACAAAGAATACTCACTCGCACTCCATTATTCACTTAGGTCGATAAATGTCCAACAGGAGGCATCAAGAAAGATTACTAAGAGGCTGGGGTCGATAAAGTGGTGTGTTGCCATGGTTTCCACGACCGTACCATAAACAAGAATTAAGTCACAGTTTTGAAACCAACTAGATCAATGGGGCTACTAGCGGCTATCCCCTAAAAGCAGGCAAAATTCTACTGGTATTCATATATTTTTTTCGGAACTGATAAAACCCAATGTAAATTATCCCAAAGTTCGTTAGGTTTGAGACATAACTATACATGCATCATTGTATGTACAACATAAAAGGTGTACCTCTTTCCTTCTCCAAAAAGCACTTTATGACCTGTAAGGCCAATTTTCCACGTAGTGATAGTATCGACCAGGAACACCGCAATATGACCTTGGGCTGGTCCGAATGCGGCTTGCGAACGGGTTAGTTAACAGCATAAGTATCGTGTTCTCCCGATGCCTGAGATCATCAAATGCACACCAAACGTGTTGAGCATCTCGTCAGTCAACCCCAAACTGGACTCGTTCCCTTTGCCCATCGGTGAGATGGTAGCTTAGAAATGCGCTACTTATGAGCGACGAGTAGCGTAAAATAAAAAGTGAATAAAAGGCACCATGAGGCCTGGCCGCTGACAGGAACCCACCCACACTTCAGCCTGCTAACCGTGGGGTGGAACAACAATTTGTTGTTCCCATAAGTTACCGGTCAGTCGCTCGATCATCAGATTTCGTTTTAAAATAATTCTGCATCGGATATCGGTTTTGATTACCACTTGCACAATGTCAGTCTAAAACGATCGGATTTTAACGCTCCTGTCACGTGCACCACTAACTTGTGAATAATCTAGCATTTGCAAACGCTTGAGCATTCGCCCGTCTGGATAGTTCGACCAACGGAATTTTCAAAACTGTGAGAAAAACCTTCGGTGAGCCGCATGGCACCCAGGCACTCTTCCTGATGGGTTGCACTGAAAGCGATACGCCGTAGAACCCCTTGAGGACAAATTAGTTACTGCTCCAAACAAGTGCCAGTAGGAAAGGATATTTCAAACCTAACGGGAAAAACCTAAAATCTATCGACCGCGGATGACGTCAGACCTACATAGCAATTTAAAAACCTACAGCCCAAACACCCTTAGGGAGCATAACTGCCATGAAACCCGAGATATTGTATTAAAGCTCAGCTGCGTCGGTTGAACGAGTAAAGTGAATAAGCGGATGAACGGTCTGTCCCATTGATCAACTGTTACATAAGAGACAGTAACACCTAACTGCAGCACCTAAAAGACGGAAAGAAAAATGTAGGTGAGCTGGTCACGACAAAACTACGAGGCCCCGAAGAGTTTGCACTACTGGCACCTGTCTGTAAGTGCGATATCGTGGCATAAAAGTCATCGAAGTGGTATTGCATCCGGGTTTTGCCTATTACGTCATTTAGGGATCGTGATAACACTATGTGTGCATTTACCTGTGGTAGGCTGACGCATCTGGGCGTGAAATATCAGCCTTAGCAACAAAGGAATGCTACGCTACGATGGCTCGGCCATGTGCTACTCATGCCGAAACACCGTCTACCGAGACGAGTGCTGTTCTCCGTTCCTTCCTCAGAATGGCGCAAACCGCTAGGAGGAAAATGTATGACTTGGCAGAATGGCGTGAAAGAGATCACGAAGGGTTTGGATGTTGTTGGTGTTGTACAACTTCCGGGATGGGGTCTCTGTGACCCCGCCTGTACTTGACTGGAAACATTGCAAGAAATGGCAGTCGATCCATGTCAGAATGCTCGACATAGGCCAGCATTACGTCCATTCCCTCACCCACACTTTTTGTCTTCTTTTCACTCTAGGGCTTTAAATTTAATTAGACGAACAGTATGGCTGTGGGACAGTGAAGCGTCAGTGTCAACATTGATGTTGCTGTCTTTGATGCTGGTGATGATGACATCTTTCTTCGGAAGTCACGTGGAAACGAAAGTAACACTGCCAACTGCCCAAGGAGCATTAAGTAGATAACTACACCAAATAAATTTCAGTATCTGCAGTTCAGTGCAAAAAAAGTTCTAGCATGAACCTGAGAACTGAAATGTCCGAAAAACTCGAAGCTCGGTAAAGGCATGCACACGCGACCAAATCAGCAGCCAGAAGACAACGTGAAACTCACAGCACATGCCACGCCGACAAATCTCCCATTTTTCTCAGCCAGTAGATGCCGGTTCCGTATGATGTAATGCCGAAACCTGTCCACTGCAAGTTTGCGAGTGTCCAATATGATTACAAGAAGATATTGATAACAGTTTTTTGTAATCGCCTGGACAAATATGAGTCACAGATGTGTTTCCACGCACAACTCACAATGTCCATGTGACTGTCGACGGCAGTGTCCGGATTGTAATCTACTTCATTTCGTGATACATAGAAAGTAAACTTACGAATCTTCCGCATACAGAGTTCAGGGTGTGACATTTTGATGATCCGGGAGCGGCTCTGGGGCGACTACTCTTTGCATTGATTATACTTTGAACAGAGCACGTGATACAATGGTACGTGGAGCTTAACATGTCATGGATAATTCCGAAGACAGACTAGCATCAACTGATTCGTTTGACCATAACCGAGAATAGCGAGCTGGGTAGGACCACCGGACAGTCCGAGCCAACAGACCAACCAGAAGTACTCACCGACCGCATTCCCGTAAAGTCATAATCCGTGATCAAATTGCACAATGCAGTAAGAATACAGTTGCAGGAAGAATTCATTCCGATTGGGTATCAGTTCGCAATTTTACAGATCACCGGTAGCATGAGTGGTACAACTGACATTGTGTCAAATAGGCTCAGACGCGAACGTGTTGACACAGGCAGGCAGCCATAGTCGACTTTAGTTCGAATGCAAAAAATCCGTTCCCACCGAATGGATTGTGAAAAGCCGATTTTAGGTCGTAGATATTTCATTCGCGGCTGGACAATTACTTCGGCGATGTTGAGTTAAACAATCATACAAAGGTTCACAAGTTCATATCAGGTATGAGGAGTGGCGTGAATGGCTGGATTAGTCGGTGTGACGAAAGCAGAGCGCATCAGCTACACACAAAAATCGATTAGTCATGGGCGAAAGAAGAAAGACCGTCTCAAATTTACCATCATAGTGATAAAAGATAGGAAGAATTCACAGCTACGATTGGGTGCAACGAGCCATTACTTATATTAAAGGATAAAATTAAAAAAAAAGTTGAAATAAAGAAATACAAAGGTTCACAAGTTCATATCAGGTATGAGGAGTGGCGTGAATGGCTGGATTAGTCGGTGTGACGAAAGCAGAGCGCATCAGCTACACACAAAAATCGATTAGTCATGGGCGAAAGAAGAAAGACCGTCTCAAATTTACCATCATAGTGATAAAAGATAGGAAGAATTCACAGCTACGATTGGGTGCAACGAGCCATTACTTATATTAAAGGATAAAATAAAAAAAAAGGTTGAAAATAAAGAAGCAGTAAATGGACTACCAAGTTAGAAATATTAGTTAGCAGTTGCTTTTGTGCAATCAAGGTCTGGTACAATATATTGTAACCACCTAATCAATATAAATTTGTCTTTTGTGATTGGACATCAATGTCACTAACAGTCGTCGTGGACTCTGCAGTGTGAAAGGTGTTTAGTGTTGTTGAAGGACTAACTGCGCAGATGCATTGGATCGCTGATGACGACCGTCCTCAGCCAACGTATCTTTGATCAGCTGTACCATTCACTTCATTTCATTAACTCCACTGGGTCGTTACAACGCCCATAGATTTGAACTTTTTCGATCTTTCGTCGCCATGATGGCAAATCTGACACTCTATTTTCCTGTTCTATCATGATCAGTTAATTTTGTCTGGCTGACTTCACGTACTCTGCCCTCATTACACCGACTAATCCAGCCATTCAGGATAGTCCTCGCGCGTGACATGAACTCGTGAATCTTTGCGAATCCACTCAATCCTGCACGACTCGTTAGCTCAGTTTCGTCGGAGTAACTGTGTAGTCGCGATTGAAATGTTTGTGCATAACACACATATTACATATTACATAACACATATTACGCCCTAAAATCGGAATTGTACAATTTCATCGATGTCTCGATTTCTAACGAGTCACCCCCAACGCCTTACTTTGTTAAAAACCTACAGGGGACATCTTAGAAGAGCCGTCTTGTCTGCAAGGGAAGATTCAAGTTCAGTCTCAGTGAAAAAGACGTATGTCCCTCGCTGCATCGAAGAAACTTCTTAAGGACGCACCCAATGTTAGTTCAGCAAGTGATCTAATAAAGACAGAGTTGCTGATGCCAGAATATAATTCTGGTGCAGCGGTCGTACTCAATACGACAATAAATAAGATAGGACTAAACTTAAAGACTCTTGTCTCATCAAATGACCACACTTGGCGAGCCGAAGAGCGAAAACCCAAACTTCTTCTGTACCTCACGGAGCTGGGAGGGCGCGAAATTTCGTACCTTTGGGCAAAACCAAATCTTAACACAAACTTTCGCTAACGATGGATTTCTTCGCAGTAGAATTAATTTTGGAATGCACGTATGACTGTCGTACACACGCTTTTTGGTAAGCATCAGTACCACGCTTTATTCGCGAATACCCATGACCTTCAGCCCAACCAACTATGCCCCACCAGCTCCTGTCCTAATTTTATTTGAACTTCCGATGAAGTGGTACCGTGGTGAGAGACTAGGCCAAACATTGTAGAAGTTCCGTAGATCGAAGGCACATATTGCTCTTGCTCTGGTTTCCATTAACCGCAAACGTAGGCAGATGAGCCAGCAGCCTAGCAGTTCACAAGTTGTCCCCTTTTCAGTCTACCTCCAAATCCCGCTTAACTTGTTTTGACATTGCGCTACCAAATGTTAAAGCATCGACTATCTTTCTGTGCACCCCTTTTCATGAATAGTAGTTGTAACGGAATAAACAGCCGGGCAATCACAGTTGGGAAGCTCTATAGCAAACGTCAGTACACCCGTCTTACTAACAATGCCTTTGGAAATATGGAACACCTTCAAATAGTAATGGTTCATGCTTAATCCCTTAAAGTGATGTCTACCATCGGTACACCCATTACAAACGTGCCAACCCACAAGATGATGCAGGCTCACAGTTGCAACCACTTGACCAGAAACTTGAAAAAAACGTGAAAGCAATTAGAACCCATTGAGACTTTCAACCGTTGGTCAAAAGAGCATAAAAAAGAGATCAAACAATTTACACGTCCTAAGCATTGACAGAGAGTCACGTCCCTGAAAACCGGGAAGCGTCAAGGTTCCCTCACGTGTGGTCACAGGGGGAAGAAGATACAGCTGGGCAACAAGAACGTGACACCAAAAAGGACGATAACCGTAAAACGCAACCGCTAGAAAATAGTATATGAAAGCCCATAGCAGGTAAACTGCCTCCCGAAAAAAGGAAAGCCATATAAATTGGTTGGTTCCTGCGGGTTAGCGGTGTTCTATTTTCTTTTCGCCATGTGTCCCATTGAGATTATGGCGCGTCTTCACTGGACATGTAAGATATCAAAGCATTTTGTACATCCCAGCCATGAGCTTCCAACTCAGCTATCGCCCTGGATAGGGGTACACCTTGGCTCGTGAGTCGAGTTACTTTGTCGCGTTGTTCACTATTTAGTTGGTCCAACTGAAATGACAGAAAGGCAGTAACAAGACGCTGAATAGGGTGGGAACGGTCTAGATCAATAAATCGAGACACAGTAGATAGATTGTCAAGTGATGTGTATTCTACACCCAGTCTACAACAAACACACGGTTGCAGTGGGGTGAATCTGGTCAAGTTCCGGAAAACCCCATCCTTATTGGGGACCATCACATGGGTCAACAGGAATTGACCATGTTAGCCCACCACTTTTCATTTCATATAACTGTCATGAGGATCACGAATTTGTATAGAGTGGGTGAAGCCATTAGTGAATACCAAAAGGGGACAAGGCCTCTGAAATCTGCTAATGGCTCTCACCAAGATGAAGTAGGTGTGTTGTGCTTTACGGGTTTCACGCACCCACAGGATGAAATCCAGGCGGGATATTCAAAACAAAACATTGGGGTCTGACTCATATCTATAACGATTTGACCACTTTTATTCAGGTGTTTTCACCAGTTGTTTTCTGTTTCGTAGGGAGAAGAAACGCCGTTCCTAAACGGTTTTCGTGAAAACTTGGACCAACGTTGTACCGATTGGAACCAGCATAATGCACCTCTGCCGAGGTCAGTCCACCTTCAGAAGAGCTGAGATTGGTCCTTTGTGCCTAGGAACAGCACAACTCGAGGCACTACGTGAAAAATAACGAAGCAACGTTTAAGTTATGTGGACCTAAAACAGAATGGGCGCCAGATGGCTCATCATAGGATATAAGCTTAAAGCCAGAACCTTTACTTCGAATCCAGAAGTCAAGCCGCCAAGATCACTATCTACCTAGGTGGAGTGAATTTTCAAGAAACAGCCATCAACTTACGAGCATTTGCTGGGTCGGCAAGGAAGCTTGATCATTGGACATTAGTTCAGCATGCCGCATATGAAGTGGAATTTCAGATTCTGGCAAGAATGGTGTTTGCAAACGCCCCGCGTCTAGAGTGAGAACATTTCGATTCAGATCAATACAGCACTGATGACGCTTGAGCATATCCAAACCGATCATGAGATCCAGCTGTTGATCTTTCAGTACAATGAAAGACGTCTGTGGTTCAAAAGTGGAGTGTAAAAGAAAATAAGAGATGGCTGGCCACATTAGCACACCATGACAGGCAATCAAAAAGTTACGTATAAAGATGGTGATGATCGGAAAACACTTTGTTTGGGGTCAATATCACCGCGATCCACGTATGTTGAATCGACCTGCGCGTACAATTCTCGGAAGAACGGTAATCAATAGTGTTCTGCCTCGGTCATTTACTAGATTTTATGGCGGCTATCCATGATTTGGGGATGGGCCCATACTACGGACGCTCCGGACCGCAGCATTCCAAGCAAGGCGATTTGAAGCGAAGTCCGCGTAGAGGTTGATGTTATCCTAAATCCACTAACGTACACCACAAGTGTGGGGACAACCAACATCATCAATCATCATCAACGACAGCATGACATCAGTGCTCAACACCAATGCTTCACTGCCGTACAGCCATGACTTATTTGAAAGCCTTATTGTAAAGAAAAGAATAAAGGTGGATGGGGGAGGGACTTAGTGCTAGCTTAACACAATCATTCCGAGGTGCCTACACCTCCAGAAATTCACTCAGGCAATCTGGACAGAAACTGACAACAAGAACGCCACTGACATCGGGTGCCAGCCATATCTTGTAGTGTCTCCAACCAGGCACAGCGAGGATCACGCGGTCCCCATCCTGGAAGAAGAAATCATGCCATCGACCGGGTCGCCTTAATCCCCGAATGCAGCAGGATGGGGAAACGAAATCAGACAGTAACTTGGTTCTGACACCATAGCCTGTTTTAGTGGCGCGCTCGCCCAGTCGTATAATAGCACTTCGTACTTTGAGGGTGAGAGACGCAATTCGAAACGCATGGTAACATCACTTAGGTTATTTGGTGTGTTTCTTATCTGAATGGAAACTGAAAGAAGTAGCGCAACATTGGCCAAATATTCAATGAATTTAAGGGCTTCCCAGGAAAGAAGGTCCAAAATTAGGGTGAAAGACAACAAAAGTTTCTCACTTAATTAATCCACTATTAGGTTATGGAGAAAAGGTGACAAACAGTAAGCCTGAAGGGCACCACTTTTGGTCATGTTGGGAGAGTATTCCCAGCAGACCTTAACGCGCCCGCAGGTATATAGTATGATGGTTGGAGGACTGTGAAGAAAATGCGTGGCACACCATTGAAAGATAGACATCCCCACAAAGCAGCGCGACCGAGCCGGACATTACGTTCAGACATGAGAACAACAATTATTGTTTTTCTGTGTGACGATGCTCCAGCAGTTGTCGTGAGGTAGAGATATGGTAAATGCAGCCACGACCCGAACGGAACTCTGCTTGGTTTTCACGGCTCTCCTCACAAAGGTGCTGGTATTCCTGCGTGGGATCATATCTGTGGGCAACTTGGAAGCGATCATGATCAAACGGGCACTCTGATAATTGGCTGATATTCAGATATAACATCTATTTTGAAGACAGGAACGACATCAAATATCTGCTATTCCTTTGGCACTTCCTGTCTTACAAATGGTGTGCACAGGTGATTTCGAGCTGAGTAATTCTCCGTCCTTAGACAAAGCGGAGAAAGACAGTAAAAACCTTATCCCTTCATCTTCTGTTACGACCGAGCCAATAAAGTCCCATTGTGACCTTTGACCTTTATCTTGGAGATATGTATCACTGAGGGATTAAACTTGAATCGGGTCGTGGCCTGGTTCACAACCAAACGCTAAACTCTGCACTCCCGATTTCGAAAAAGTCTGTATTTTGCAGCCTGGCTTATTGTGGCTCCAGTGACAATTTTTTCACGACCTATCCTTAGCAACACTGGATGTCCTACAGATGAATGGTCTCCTCATCGGAGCGGAAAAA